TCCATGAATGGTCTGGGTTATATCTAGGATCGGTCTGGGTTACCTCCAGGATCGGTCTGGGTTACCTCCTGGATCGGTCTGGGTTACCTCCAGGATCGGTCTGGGTTACCTCCTGGATCGGTGTGGGTTATCTGTATCATTTCCAAAGCTGGTTCTGGTTTTCTCTCTCTGATGACCGACGGGGGGTGGGAGCGCAGAGCATCATAACCTCTGACCTTTTGAGATTGGAGATTTAGGCTGATTATCAGCCAATCAGACCTCACTGGCACTGATCTGGTTCAGGATCACAGAGACAGACCCATCAGATCCACAGACTCTGGTTCACCCGTATCTCAAGAAATATGGATGATATGGATGGATATGGATGTCTAGATGCTGGTGCGTAAACGGCGGAGCAAGAGGTGGGGCCTTGGAGCCAAACATCTGGGCTCTCCAAAGGAAGACTGTTGACCCTGATCCTCAGAGCGCTTTATAAATCTGAAATATGTACTGCCTCTGTCATGTTTACTAGATGAGACGTGAACCCGGGTGTTTGTTCTGTTTCCCTCCAACAGGTGGAGGAGGCCGACCAGATCTACCTGCTCATGAAGGAGGACTACCGCATCTCCAGGAATGTGCGTCTGGCCTGGTTCCTCAGCAAGCTGAATCAAAGCATCAGGCCGGCCTCCCCGTCTGAACTGGTAAGCTGGACCAGTGGCCTAGAACCCAGATGCTCTGATTGGCACAGATTTCAGCAAACCAAAACAACCCGTCCCTCTGGCTGGACAGGTTCCATACTGAGGACAATGGGTCAAAAATTCACACATTTGTTACTTAAGTAGAAGTATAGATACTGCAGTATAAAATCACTTTGGTAAAAGTTGACGTTAGCAGTTTGAAGAACACCTGCTTGCTTCTGATGATTTCCTTTAGCTAACCAATGAGTGTTTGCCTTCTATGACTCATCCAGTGACACTAGTTTTCACTAGATGTGGGCGGAGCCAATGATCTGCATTGGATGGAGCACATGACGGGAAATAAAGATTTAGAAACATTTAACCAGAGGAACCAATTAATAATCAGCGGGTCTGAATAAAGAACATCATCAACCAGTAAAGGTCCGGAGAAATTTTTAATAATCTGCTACTTTAAACAGAATTTAACACTGAAATAAAATGAGGTGTTTATGCATTTATGTTATACATTGAATTTTTAGATAATATAAATAGAAATTGCCAAAAATTGCATCCGGTTCTATCTCAGAGGAGTTGTATTCCTGTATATCCATCAGTAGTTAAAGGTCAAAGGTCAGCAAATGCTACTTCTGCCTGTTACACAATGACAATTGTTGCTGTATAATCTGAAGCCTCATTTAAAGCTTTTAAACAGGCTTTGAAAAACTTTGATAATTTGCGGCTGTATTATTATAGATTTTTTCAGAATAAAAATCTAGCAGATGTGCATAATCAAAAAATAACAGAAATACAATTATAGAGCAGTCAGTATTATAAGAAAGCCCACAATGTTTCTGAATAAATACATTATTGTATGAGTTAAGTTCTGATCCCTTTTTGTCTCTTTCCTTGTAAGTGTGGAATGTCCCATGCTCCTGAATGCACCATAGCTATCTGATGCTCGTGAATGCATCACACTGGTCTGTTTAGATGCGTGTTTGATTTTCTGCTGAAGGCAAAGCTTTGCAGTTTCCAATCTCACGTCAGCTTCACTGTTTATTGTTGTGTGTGAAAAACAAGAGACTAGAACAAATAAATCAGCCGTACCTCGGATAAAATCTTTGGAGTTAATGTTGTTCATAACAGCCGTACTTTTGTAAATTGATCTGCCAAATAAGCACAATTTATTTCCCACGAGAGCAATATTTAATCGTCTGGGGAGGCCTATTTCAGCAGGGATGCACTTTTCAGCATAACACCGGACCGCGGTCCGCTAATCCGTGACCTCTGCATTAAACCGAAGTCAAGAGTTACGAATAACGATTGATTTAAATCTCTGTCTTTCCAGTAATGTCTGATTCTTTCCACAGCAAACCTCTGAGAATGAGCTGGACCTGATAGCTGTCCATCCCAAGGGATGGCAGCCAGAATCCCCCCCCACCACAGACCCCTGCACGTTGATGCCGTCCACCCGGGCAACCTTTCTGGCCCGCCGGTACCGCTTCATCATAGAGCTGGACCTCAGCCCTTCCACAGGGATTGTGGTAAGACCTGGATCCGTGTTTAGGAGACGAAATGAAACCTCTGAGAGGTTATTATGGCCGAGCATGGCTCTGCTCCAGGGGTCCGCAACCCTTTATAGCCAAAGAGCCGTTTTGCTCCGAGTCCGACCATGTAAAAGTTATTTAGAGCCGCAAAATAGATGACGTTTTAGAAAAACAATTTGTTTGTTTTTTATTATCTAGTATAGGAAATTAGTTGCCATCTTAAACAACCAACAATATATGTATTTTATCTTTTAAAATAATATTAAAACACATAAATTCCAAGCTAATTAAAACGAAAGTGACTCTAAAAACATATTTCTGGTTCTTTTAATTTCCTTCTTATCCATCTTATAAAAAACACTAAAGCTTTTAAGACTGGTATTTATTTTGTAGTACATTATTTAGGTCTTTATATAGATTTTAGCCACTTTAAGAGCCGCTGCAGAGGGTCCAAAGAACCACTGTGGAGCCACAGGTTGCAGACCCTTGATATGGCCCCTGATATGTGAAACCTGAACTGCATGGACCTTCATGAGGGTCCAGACCAGATGAACAGGCCGAACGGTCCAAACGTGCCTCGAGGCGTCAGACCGGCTTCATGGAGTTCATAATGAACCAAATCAATGGAGACTTGGTTTTGGAGAAAAAGAACGGAATCCCTCCTTTATCACTCTGTCCAGGTTGGAGATGCCTCCTCACTCTGGATCCCAGCACCAATGACCCCCAGCCCACATTTATAGCCTGTGCCTTCTTAAGCCGGGATATTTTCAACTGTTACACGTAGGGGTGTGGGAAAAAATCAGTTTGACGATATGTTGTGATTTTTCGCTGCCCAGTATAATATAGATCTTTCAATTCCTAATATCGATTTTATAAAAAACAACATTTTTTTTCTAAAACAATGAGGGGAAAATGGGCTCTCTGCACGCCCACCCTGGGGTGGTGGAGCCCTTTTGCTGTGCGCCGCAGCATAGTTGAGGCGGCCACAGTAGAAGCAGTGGACTGACTCAAACCACAAACAACATGGATTCTGATGTTGTTTTTTGTCTATGGACGGCGACGTTTCTGTACGACAGAGTATTAGGGCCACACATGAAGAGAAAAAATTTTTTTTTTTATGACGAGCTTAGACTCGACATGTCGACTTTAAACTCGACATGTCGAGAATAAAGTTGATATATCGTGGCGACTTTAATCTCGACATTCCAAAGTTTGGAGAAAAGAGCATCCGCGCTCCACAGCTGCAGTCTGCGTTTTAAGAGTGAAGGTAGTCTTTGACGTGCTGCAACTGTATAATCATCACAGGAAGCGGTGGCCTACCAATAATAACGTAACGTCTTTCCCTATGCTTACCCAGGCTCGCAGTTCTGAATTTGAGAACATATCAGTCATTTCAACTTTATTCTCGAAATGGCGAGTTTAATGTCGACATGTCGACTTTAAAGTCGACATGTCGAGTTTAATCTCGTCATGGCAAAAATAGTTTTTCTCTTCATGTGTGGCCCTAATACTCCGTCGTATTTCTGTCTATATATTTTATTTTGATAACTGGTTAAAATATCACAACATAAAGTGATATTGCAATATCGTGATAATATCACTTTGAGATCCAAGTATCGTTACATGTATCGTATCACAACACACACGCCAATACTCACCCCTAGTTACATGCAACAACTCAAACTGTATGACAAAACCACATTTTTAAAGTCATAGAGAAGTCATATTTAAATTTCAAATCATTCTGGCTTAAACATGTATATAAATGTACTCTTTATCGGATGATATTGTCTCAAAAATTAGAACATTTCTATTTTTTTAAATATCCTGTCTTAAAAATCTGTGTTTTTTCCGTTATCTTCTGCAGGCCAGTTAGTTCTACGTCAGCCTGAACACCTAAATTCGGCCAATCATATATCAACGGTCATCTGTCAATCAAATGTTTTCGGTCATAGCATCTTGATTCATGTGTCGCAGCTAATATACGCAACGGTTGAAACCAGAATCCTTTCCTTTCCCATTGAGTTGCGTCCCAGTGTTCACGGGGATGGACGTCTGTGTCTTCGGCAGGCGTAGAGCTAACAGAACTGGCAGCGTTGCGAGGCAAGGGCTCAAACATGTACGGCTGGAAGCCTTCTACACCAAACCAAGCTTCTGCCGCCCTGGCGTCCTCTTCCACAACATCTTCGTCCCCGCTTTCCTCCTCTAAATAAAAAATGGATGACGGAGGAGACTCATCCACGACCTCCGACACTAAACTCTCCTCCTCTTGCATGTTTCCTCTGTCCATAGCGTTCCTTGACAGCGTCGTTTCTAAGTCACCAATTTAGTGCTACTTGGTCCCAATGGAATTTCCCATTGGAAACCTGCTAGCACTGAGATGCTAACTGGTTAGCAAGATGCTTCCGATAAACCGGCCACAACCAAATAGCTTGTGAACCTTCTGCCACAACAATCCTGCCATCTTGATAATCGACCAATCACATTCACTTTATTCACTCGTATAAAGTCGGGCACCACTCGGGAGAATTCGGAAATGCAACGGTTGGAACGGCCGCTTCCCTACGACTTTAAAAGTTCCCATCTCAGGATGTATGCTCTCATACTGTGCGGCCCGATCCTCTGATGCGATCTACCTACTCACACTGCACGTCCAATAACCACCCGTTGGACTGAGCGCTGTGAGATGACGGTCTCTCAGCTCAGAGAGATGGTCGGACTCGTCAATCTGGAAGATTCTAGTAAATCGGCTTGTAGCTCTGCTTCAGCAGACAGGATTTACCCACCAACACCTCGCTAAGGCCGACTGAATTTCAAGGCATGTTTGATTTTCTCCCGACCTTACGATTCCCGATTGGGAGGTGGTCGTGGGAGGCTGATCGCCCCTCTTTACCGCCTGTATGCTACATGCCGCAGAACGCACAATGAGGCTAAAACTCGGCCTGATTGAACAAATTCTCTCACGACTTGAGAATCGGCCCAAAAACAGCACAAAAAAAAACCATTCAGTGCATGCCCGGCTTTACTCAGCCAGATGTCGACGTCTGCTCCACAAGCTGCGATACAGGAACCTAATCCAGATACACTGTCAGACCTGCTGTCCATCCTCCAACATGTGGCTGGCTGTAATCACTGGGCTGGGGGGCTTGACTCTCTGTTCTGGTCGGGTGCAGGTCACTGGGACACGTTGGTTTGGGATCCAGTGGGTTCAAGGTGTTAATGTTACGTTGCTAGTTGTGCAGAATGGGATGAAATGCTAAACTGATGCTACTACAATTTACCCTGGCCAGTGAGGTGGCCAGTGAGGTGGCCAGGGCATTGCTAGGGGGGCCAGTGGCCACCCCCTGGTGGCGCCACTGGTTATAATGAACAGATCTCCTCTCTCCACTCATCTTGAAGACTCCAGGTCACCTCCTTGGGTTAACTTTGCCCAGATTTTAAAGCTGACTGAGGTGGAGTTTGAAATTCCTGTCTGCTGTGCGGCGGAGCGTGGATTCAGCCTGCGTATCATAACAGCAGTGATGAGAACTGGTTTGGGTGATGAGCCTCTACAGGAATCCACCTTGAGACATTGAATTTGGCTCAGGGGAAGGCGTCCAAATGGTCCAAATTCAGCCCAGCAGTGAAACTTTAAGGCATGGGAGGTAGAAACTACCATGTGATGTCTTCTGAAGGATGTTTTTGTCACCAGGGAGAAAAGAAAGCAGGTATTGATGTAGTTGATGAGGATTCTCTGTCGAACAAAGAGCTTTATAGTCTGGACCTGGTTGGTCTGATTGGGCCATCATGGCGGCTGATCTGTGTTTGGGTTGACTTGTCTGGTTTTCCCACTGCAGGATGACAGCACAGGAGAGATGATCTTTGATGAAGTCTTTCACGCATTGTCCAAGTGCCTGGCTGGGCTGGCTCAACCCTTCAAAGTTCCTGGAACAGATCAGCTTTTCAGGCCCAAGATCTTTATCACCATTCTGGTTTATTCCTCAATTATTGGTCTCACTTCACCCCAGGTAAGATTTTCTTCTGTTTTCCAGTCCTTCAGAGCCAGCTCGGCTAAAGTCAGCCATCTTTGAGAACTTCTGAGTAACGGTGCTGTGGTGTTAACCTCAACCAGCAGACTTTCATGGATGGTTTGTCCCGCAGGTTCTGGTGCAGGGCTGTCAGCTCGATAAAACCAATCTGAAGGAGTTTGTTCTTCAGATCTACCAACAGCTCAGAAATCTGGAGAGCAACACGGCAAAGGTTCTGCATCAGCAACGGCAACAGGTCACACTTACTTCTTTGTTACTCCTAGTTACCCTGGGTTAATCCTTGGTTACCCTGGGTTAATGCATGGTCAACCTGGGTTAATGCATGGTCAACCTGGGTTAATCCCTGGTTACACCGTCTTAATCCCTGGTCAAACTGGGATAATTCCTGGTTAACCTGGGTTAATCCTTGTTACCCTGGGTTAATATGTGGTCAACCTAGGTTAATCTGTGGCCAATCTGGGTTAATCCCTGGTTAATCTGGGTTAATCCCTGGTTAAACTGGGTTAATCTTTGGTTAACCTGGGTTAATCCTTGTTATCCTGGGTCAATCCGTGGCCAACCTGGGTTAATCCCTGGTTAACCTGGATTAAACCCTGGTTAACCTGGGTTAATCATTATTACCCTGGGTTAATATGTGGTCAACCTGGGTTATTCCCTATTTAACCTGGGTTAATCCCTATTTAACCTGGGTTAATCCCTGGTTAACCTGGGTTAATTCCTGGTTAACATGGGTTAATCTTTGGTTAACCTGGGTTAATCCTTGTTACCCTGGGTTAATATGTGGTCAACCTGGGTTAATCCATGGCCAACCTGGGTTAATCTGGGTTAATCCCTGGTTAACCTGGATTAATCCCTGGTTAACCTGGGTTAATCCTTGTTACCCTGGGTTAATATGTGGCCAACCTGGGTTAATCTGTGGCCAACCTGGGTTAATCCCTGGTTAATCCGGGTTAATCCCTGGTTAACCTGGGTTAATCCTTGTTACCCTGGGTTAATATGTGGTCAACCTGGGTTAATATGTGGTCAACCTGGTTTAATCCCTGGTTAATCTGGGTTAATCCCTGGTTAATCTGGGTTAATCTTTGGTTAACCTGGGTTAATCCTGGGTCAATCTGTGGCCAACCTGGGTTAATCCCTGGTTAACCAGGATTAATGGGTTTCTCCTGAGTTAATCTGAGGTTACTCCTGGTTAATCCTGGGATAATCAGATGTAAATGTAAACCCCTCCCACCATCAGAGATGTTGCTGCTGCAGAACCATGACAGAATGATTTCTGAACAGATGGTGGAACCAGGACTGGGACTGAGCAGCAGCGTGGAGGACCAACCCCCCAGGAATCAGGGGATGTCGGTGGTGTCTGCCGATATGGGGCTGGTCAGCATGGTTCGCCAAGGGATCCTGGCCCTCCAGCTGCTGCCTCCTAACTCCAGTGCAGGTAGATCAGCATCATCTGCTCCTCTGCTAGGCTGATGGAATGCTAACTGCTCTGAACTTCAAGCTACATCTCCACACTGATGGCAGTGAGCTATGGTGAAGTACGGAGCTAGATTGTGTGATTCATACACGCACAGACAAGATTCGCCAAAGCATTTCTGGTCCATCAACTATTATAAATTAAATTACAAAGAACCAGTGGTCTTTAAACTTCACTGCATTTGTAAGTGGATTTTTTTTAGACTGCCCTGACATGCCTCGATACATTAATGAATTTTTTTTAACAGGGATGGTTTGCCACCAATTACAGAGCTCCCTTTTGTAAGCCAATCACAAGAAAGGGATGATTTACTCCAGATCCCTCCTGCTATGTATCCGCCCCGCTCCGCTCCAGACCGCCAGCTCAAAGCAAAGCCTACATCCTCCGCTGTTCCTCCCGTCCTGCTCCGCTCCCAATTCCTTTAAAGCCCCTCGGTGTAAAATAAATATTTAGATGGAGATGAGAAATCTGCTTCCTGGTCCATTGAAGTACCAATGGTTTGCATCCAATCATTTAATTAAAGGTTCTCAGTTTTTGGGAATATATTCAAGAATTAAGCTCTAATTTGTAGTTACCAACATGTTGTTAGGATACTTTAATTAGTCAAACCGGATCTTCTCGCTGTTCTCTTTCCTGTTTGGTGTGATTGCAATATACGGATCTTGACCTGGAGTAACGGTGGATGTGGAACAGCTCTCATTCATTAACATGACAGACTAGTACTCCGCATGATGAATGTGAGCGGAGCGGAGCGGAGGATGTGTGATCTGGGGATTAACCAATGTTATTTAATTTATAATTATTTATGGACCAGAAACACTTTGGTGGATCTTGTCCTGTGCATGTATGAATCAGATACGTGTATTTGTGAAAATTGAGACCGATTTAGCTCCATGGTGAAGCCATGCTGGCCCTGGGGCAGACTGACAGAACCATACAGTCAGCATCCTCTCATAAGACCTCTAACCTCCACCAGGAGGTGTCTCTGCTTTGCCCTGCGTGAATATAAGCCCAGAAACCATGGGGCTACCATCTCTTCCTCGGATAAGGTTCGGTGTGCCTGCGCACGCCCTTTGACCTTAGCTGAGGTCACCGCTGAACAGAATAGACTGTGAGGGATGTTGGTTCCTCTCTCCGATGCTTTAACAGGACCTGGAAGGGGAAGACCCGCCAGCACAGCTCTTCTTCTGTGGTTTTTGCTCCTGTCAGAGAGCTTCTGCTGCAAAGAAAACACGGTGGATTAGATCTGGAGCCCAGATAAGATCCGGGTTTGGATTATTGTTTCCTATCCAATCAGAGCTTTGATTCACATCACCATGGTTACTGATTACATCACGGATTCCTCAGAAACAACAAACTCATTGTTACTCAGACTTTTCTTTAGTTTTGTTGTTAAAAACATAATGATTATTTAAATGTTTTTATTTTTTTCATTTTTCTAAAGTCTTATTTACTTTCATTTGTTGAGTTTCACGCATGATTCTGATTACACCAGCTAACCAGCTAACGCTAAATGGAGTTTACGGTTCAAGCAGAGGCAGCCGTGTGGAGTTTAGGACTCGGTCTCCATGGTGACATGATGGACCTTGTGTGTTTTAGGCATCATCATCATCACTGACGGTGTGACCAGCGTTCCTGATGTGGGCGTGTGCGAAACGCTGCTGAACCAGCTGAGGAGTGGAACCATCACATGTTCCTTTGTGCAGGTATGCAGAAGCTGAAATGAATAACGTGTGGAGGGAACTCCTGTTATTCACTTCAGTGGTTCCTAGAACTTCTAAAAGTAGAATGGGAGGCAGATCTTTTAGTTCTCAGGCTCCTCTCCTGTGGAACCAACTACCAGTTTTAGTCCGTGAGGCAGACACCCTGTCTACTTTTAAGGCTAGGCCTACAACTTTCCTTTTTGATAAAGCTTCTAGTTAGAGTGGCTCAGGTTATCCTGAGCTGTTCTGCTGGAGGTTTCTTCCTGTTAAAAGGGAGCTTTT